AATTAAAATATTTGCATGTTACAGTTGATACTTCTTCTGGATTTTTGATGGGCTCCCTTCATGCCGGAGAAAAAACTAAAGATGTTATAGCTCATTGCTTACAAAATTTTGCCACTGTGGGTGTTCCAAAACAGTTAAAAACAGATAATGCCCCTGGTTATACTTCTACCTCTTTTAAACAATTTTGCTCAACATTTGGCATTACTCATATAACAGGAATCCCATACAATCCACAGGGACAAGGCATAGTTGAAAGAGCTCATCAAACTATTAAAATGTACTTATTAAAGAAAAAAGAAGGAATTGGGGAGGGGTATATATTCCCCAAAGATAAACTTAAAATAACCCTTTTTACTCTAAACTTTTTAAATTTGGATTCATCAGGACTTAGTGCTGCGGAAAGGCATATGTGTCCAAAAAATGTGCATAAGCCCAAGGTACTTTGGAAGGATATTCTAACAGGACAATGGAAAGGTCCTGACTCCAGTAATCTAGAGTCGAGGGTCTGTTTGTGTGTTTCCACAGGGAGAACAGCAGCCGATTTGGATTCCAGAGAGATTAACCAAGGTCCTGACCCAGTGATTGTCTGGAGTGGGGGGTCTGTTTATGTGTTTCCACAGGGAGAACAGCAGCCGATTTGGATTCCAGAAAGATTAACTAAAGCGATTTCTACAGACCAAAAAGAAGATGATTTGGCTCAAATCCATAACAACTGATATCCAAAACTCCAGTTTGGCTATTCTTACATCTGCAACAGAACCAGGATGCTTTTTTCAATATCTATTTTATTATTGCCCTTTGCCATATCATGAAGTTCTATTTTGTTTTTTGAGCTCATACAGTCTAGGTTAATGTTTTGCTGATCAGTTCTATTTTTTGACTATAGAGTTTTTAAACATTGCAATGGAGATTTCACCTGTAAAAAGTTATAAGGCCTTTACTATAATGTTATGTGTTGTATGTATTATATTATGTGTGCACACTTGTGTTTTGTGTTATATGTTTGAATGTACGTATGTCCATATATCACATATGATGAGCGCTCATGATAAAATGGATCCAAATATTTTTTTTTCACGTGATTTATATGGTTTAATTTAAATTGGGTAAACAACTGTTGAGGATTGTTTTAATATGTAAACAAAAAAGAAGGTTAACAGATCTGTTTGTTTACTTTCACCTTTCCTTTTCATTATATTTAATAATTCTCTTAAAGATAATGTAAATTGTTAAGAAAATTGTTTTCTTTTAGTGCCTTCTGTAATGTTACATAATTTTTTCTTTAGCCATTATTGCCAGAATTCCTATCTTCATCCCAGTGCCGGTGAAGACAATGTAAATTGTTAAGAAAATTGTTTTCTTTTAGTGCCTTCTGTAATGTTACATAATTTTTTCTTTAGCCATTATTGCCAAAATTCCTATCTTCATCCCAGTGCCGGTGAAGACAATGTAAATTGTTAAGAAAATTGTTTTCTTTTAGTGCCTTCTGTAATGTTACATAATTTTTTCTTTAGCCATTATTGCCAGAATTCCTATCTTCATCCCAGTGCTGGTGAAGTCAAAGATAAAACCAATCTACAGCTTCTACAATAGCCATCACTGAACTGCTTGCAGAACTTGCCTGGACACATTGTGAGCTCACCTGTATGCATTGTGAACTATCTGTTGGTGTAGCGACTTGTGTTAGTGTTGGGTATTTTTGCTGATGATGTCATTGGTGGTACAATTTTTCCAAAAGGAGCCGTCAATTGGCTTGGTGTATCTTCCTCCCTTCTGCTTGTCATGATCGTCCAGCTAAAATTTGGGGGCCAACAGAGGTGAGGCAAAGAACCTCACCCCCCGCTGGTACAAAGACCTCTCCACAGGTGTGGCTGTATACTGGACCGGTAGTCAGTGACGGGTAAGATCCAATTGCAATGGTACCAACCTAAGGACCATATGTACTATTGGACAACCTAAGGCAGGCACGGTCCCTAAGCCACATGCTTTTTGTTTAAACAGAGAGGGGGAGATGTTGAGAGCCACAGCCAAAGGGGCCCCAGCAAACTTCCAGCTGCTGGCTGATGATTGGCTCACAGTGGCCCCAGCAACATCTAGCTGATTGGCTCCTCTGCGGTAATGCTCATTGGGCTGTTTCCCTGCCCTTTCAGACCACGGAGCTGCTCATTGGGGGACTTTTTTGGCTCCGCCCACGTGACCCAGCCAATCGGCCTCAAGAGCAGGAGGATTGTGGGAGGTGGAGAGAAGCTTGTGTGGGAGAGAGAGGCTTGTGGAAAGCCGGTGGTGGCAGTTGAGGCTCTGAGGGTTTTTCCTGAGAGGCTGTTTTGTTTGGCGTGTGTGGTTCTAAAAATAAAGTTAGTTTCTTTTGACAAGTGGCTCCTGATTGTGCCCAGCCAGACTGCGGCATGTGTGTGTCCACCCGCTGCCTCTGATTCAGGTGGAGGAGGAAGCGCAGCCTTTCTGATCACCTCCAGATGTTTCCATGGTAAGAACAACACAGGGCAGGTTCCTGCGGGACTGGTGTGATGCATCATAGCAAGGAGCCAGGTGGCCATTCCCATCAGGCACCTGTCCCTGGGTTCTGCACAGTGAGGTGAGAACAAGCCATGAGAAGAGAGGAGTTAAACATTTTTCTTTCACAAAACCATTTTCTCCTGTCAAAGCCTGAGCTGCCACATGCCTTTCCCGCCAGGCCAGTGGCCTGGTAGTGGGAGGTATGGTATCCAACGCTCTTCCTGAGCCTGATGATCTGTACCCTGGGGCCTGAACTTCAACAACAATCACTAGTCAGGACCAAGAACGTTGGTTTATGAAAAAAAAATATTTGTACCCCAAATATTGGTTTATTGCTGGTACCAGTGGAATCCACTTTGAGGTCCCCAAAGACCAGAACTTCAAAGACACAACATATACAAAGCCCAAGGGAGTGGAAGCACCCACTGCATGTGGCTAGGTGGCTGGAGGGCAGACTCCAACAGGGGCTTGTCAGGACAGCAGCTGTTCTATTAACCAGGACCAAACATTCGTCTTTCTACCTCGTGAGAATTTACTGAATAACAACCAATTCCCAAGCTACATCACCCTCACCACTGCAACGCACTGCGTACTTTTACTAACACCTGAACCACTCCAGTCACGTCACACGTTTTACACACCTGTATCTACATAGGACATAGATATAGGTTATAGAAGGAAAGGTTAAGGTGGCCACAGGGCTAAGGCAGATACAAATGCCAAAGAGTCACTGCAGGTGGCCTGACAGGATTATGAACCAACCAAAGAATTTGTCAGGGAACAGAATGTCCCAGCAAGAAATTTATTCTCTGCCAGGGTCCAGCTGGCAGGCATTTTCAAAGTGGGCCAAAGCAGGGAGATGGGGCTGAGCTGAAACCCGGGGACCAAGAGTCAGAGGTTCCTCCCCTGTCCATCCTGTGAGGTGGTTCGGATGCTGTCATGACAGATTGGTGTGTGCCACCTAGGCAGCCTCAGGTGCTCCTCCTTGTCTGGGTCTCAGGTGAGGGCGCTGCTTCATTTGAAGGTCTGGTGTGTTTGCTGACCTTATGAACCTGGCTTTTCTGATATGGGGTTGATAAGCCCATGTAGCTTTGCTTCTGATTTAATTTGAGAAGTTCACAGGTGGCACAATTAATTTATCCGTTTGTGCCTTCTGGTTGTGCCAAGCAGATGATGGCTGTTCACTTGTACCGACAAGGCACAGAGACTTCCACCCCAGCACTGGCACTCAGAATGGAGTAGCAAACTACTGCTTTATCAAGTTCAGTAACTTGGGTTGGGCACAGCCTGAAAACTGTTGATACCTTATGGAAAGACACCCAGAAGGCCACTGCCTGCTCTCCACAGGCCTCTGTCCAGCTCCTGAAGGTTCTCCTACTCTGGGTTTGGATCATCACTGCAGTGAAAGGGAAAACACTCCAAGGCGGCTGTGCTCCCAGGCGTTTGTTCAGCATATCCTAATCCCTGGGTGCAAATGGCAGAGCAGAGCCTGCTTCCCAGTGCTCCCAACCCCACTTTGTAACAAGGACAGGAAGTGAGGCAGAGGGGATGGGAGGTGTTGGCATAACTACAACCCGCTTCCTTTCCCCCACCCTCACTTTATGAATACTGTTCTTAAGAAAGAACTTGCGCTCCACGATATCAGGTGATGCTTACTATGCCAATCACAAGGGCTACCCCACCCCTAGGGCAACGCCTTGATTTCACTTATTACAGCTAACAATCCAGGAGGAGTTGCTGCTGCTCTTTTTCCTCGGGAGGCAGCCTGACAGTTTCCTGACAATAAATCTGCTTTTGCCTTTGCTCTTGGTGTTTGTGTGATCAGTCCTGGGCCAGTTTGCTTTCAGGAGGAAATAAAGCCAAGAGCATTTTCACAGAAACACCATGATACATACATTAATTTTTTAAAGAGGCTCAGCCAAGACTTAGCTTTTTTAGTATTTTGGTTTTTAACGAGTGACTACAAAGGAGCTGAGGGCATCAGTGAGAAGCAGAGCCCTGGCTTCAGGGAGGCGCCAGGGTGACCTCTGATTTCCAGCGCACTGCACAGGCCTCGGGTCCAGAGGGTCACATAGGGCCCAAAGCAGCGGGGTGAGCGGCAGCCCTAATCACAGGAGCTCTCACCCTTGGGCTACTTCCCTATGGGAAGTCCCGGCAGGTGACCTGGAGGCAGGGTGGACACATGGGAAGGCCTCACCTGGGTCCGTGGTGCAAAGCCTGGGTAGCGGATGCCCCCAGACCAGAGGGGAAAGCCCTGCGTGCTGCGCCCGGGACGCGTGGAGAAGCCGAGGCGTGGGGTGGGGGTGGGGGCGCCGCGGGCAGAGAGTGACACCCCACGGGACGCGGGGGGACCGACGCGGGAAAGGCAGGAAGCATGCGTGCGGCACGGGGCCGGGGAGGGGCGCCCAGGGAAGACCGGGAGGCAGACGGTCGGGAAGGACGCGGCGCGTAGCCGGGGGCGGGGCCGCCGCGGAGGGTGTGGCCGGCGGAGGCGCGGAGGCCGGGAGCGCATGGCGGGGACCCGCCGGCGCCAGCTTCCCCCCTCGCGCAGAGCCGGGAGGCGCGGACGAGGTGAGCTGGCGCCGGGAACCGGGTGCGGTGGCGTGGGGATGCGGGGTGGGTCTGCATGGAGTAAGGAGGATGCAGTGGGGCGGGTGCGGGAAGTGGGAGATGGGGTGGGGCGGGATGGGTGCGAGGAGGGTGGGGTGGGGTGGAGGCTGTGGGGACAGGGTGAGGTGCAGGGGAACAGGGGCAGGGCTACCGTGGGACATGCCTTGGGAGATGCGCAGGCGCGTGGCACCTCGTGCTGAGACCTGCGAGGAGCCCGCTGTCACCTTGGCTGGCTTTCCAGAAGTCTCTGCACTCCACAGGGGACCCCAGTCTCTCTCCAGGTCCTTCTGATTCAAACCCTTGCCACTCTACACCCATCCCAGAGGGGCCAGAAGAGTGCCCCAGCTGAAGCCTTGCCCAAGACCTGCCTTGTTCAGTCTGTAATGGTGGCCCATGGGACACCTTGGAGTAGACCCTGACGCAGCCTGGGCCACACAGAACGACGTTCCTGGGAGAGGATTCCAGAACCTTCCACAGGGGAGGAGTGAGCTTCTGGAGATTGGGTCCCTGTGCTTTCTCCTGAAAACATTGGACAGCATCTCAGGTTTTCACCTGGGGCCGGTAGAAGGCTCCCTGGGAGCAGGTTGAGGACATGTAGAGAGAAGTGACAGGGAGGGAGGCCAGTTGTGCTGTTAAGGAAAGCCAGTGCAGGGAGGGCTGTCAAAGCCGAGAGGGAGAATGAAGGCAGGAAGCCAGAGGCATCAGCACAGCCTGGCGGCAGGCACAGGCAGGGTTCAGGAGTCGGGCTCAGGTGGCTCCAGGTGAGGGGGACGCCTCGGAGGGCACAGAGGGGGTGGCCTCCACAGCAGCACATTTCCTCCTTTTATGCACCGTTGCATTTTCAGTTCTCTGTCAATTTGGGAAGGAAATGATTTAAAAACACGTTTCCCAGCCAGAGTCAATGGAACTGAGATCCCCTGGGACCCTACCCCAGGCAGGGCGGGCCTCTGCAGGCTGAGCACCAGAGTGGGGTGCTTTCAGATACCTTAAAGGGCAGCAGGAAAGAAAATGGGGCTAGTGTTGGATGGCCATGGAGTCCAAGCAGTATGCCCTTGGCTTGTGCAGTGAGGATTTGTGGTCAGTCAAGGCAGTAGCAGTTCTGCCATATTGAATGCAGCCCAACATGGGAACCACATATCACATCGAGTTCCAGAGGTGTTTTTTAATTCCTCCCCTTCAGACTCCTACACATATTGTCAGGATCTTTTCTGTTTTGTTTTTCAAAGGATTAACCTGTAAGAAACATTGCCCTCTCCTCCAGTTACTCAAGAGGCAGGGAAATTGCAAGTTCAAGGCCAGCTTGGGCAACTTAGCAAGAATGTCTTAAAATTTAAAAAAATGGAAATGGCTGGGTTCCATCCCCAGCCCTGTGAATTAATTCTACTAATAGTGACCGTTCGTGGCTTCCTGTTTTCATCCAGTGTTGTTCTCTCAATCAGCACAGCCATTCTCTGTCCTCCGAGGCGGGCCTCATTCCTTGTCTACAGAAGCCAGGCTCAAAGAGTTAAACAGCTGGCCCCAGGCCACCCAGCTGCTGAGGGGCCAAAAGGGAGGTCTGGGCCTGCCTGCAGCTTCCTGTTCCGCCTCTGCAGAGCCTCACAAGGATGGCTCGTGAGGAGTGCCAGCAGCAGCAGAGGACAGGCGTGTGCTGTTGGTGTTCTGGTTGTTTGGGTCTTTTCACATGATGTGTCCCAGACAAGGTGCAAACCAACGGCGAAGGTCCTCAGCTCGAAGGAGTGTGAAAACAAGGAGGAAGAGTAGAGTCGGGACCGCCCAGACTCTGGGAAGCAACGGAAGCACAGACCCTTCCTTGTCCATTGAGGACCTGGTGACTTCTCAATTTGGATTCGGCTTCATGAAAGGAGCCATGAAGTGTGGTTCCTGGACCTGGGACACTGAAGCAGGGTCAGGCAAGTGGCCTTGGGTTACTAAGGGACCCTGTGTACATCGTTTGCCTAAATGTGACAGTGGGTGACTGGAGAGCTCCGCTGCTCTGCCTGCAGGTGCAGCCACACATGTGACCTGGTATACTGCAGTTCTGGTTGACATCCTGCTCTTGGCCAAAACGTCTTTCCTGTTCTCTAAATGGACGACAGATGTTCAGCCTCCTCTTGGAGTTGTGCCCTCACTTCTGTGACAGTCAGGTTCATGACAGTTGGGTGCCATCCTCCCCACAGATGAGTCATCCCATATGCAACAGCCTCTTCCAGGCCCACCTTGAATTCTGCTTCAGTCCTGTGTGGATTAAGCTCCTAGTCCCACCACACCGGCCATGAGCAACACTGTGGTGGAGAAAGCCCATAAGAACCTTTGGAGCAGCAGGGTACAGACAGCTCCAGTAGCAAGAAGTCAAATAGTCCAAAAATGTTTGTGCTCCTCCAAATGTCACTCATCCATTGCCAGGTAGATTCCACAGCTGAGGGCATGACCCAGTACTTGGCTTCTGCAGGTGACATTTTCCAAATGAAAGCCTCAGAGTCACCATGGATTTTCTTCACAGATACCTCAGCACCTTCAGGAGACTTGCAGGTTGTGGGGTCAAGACTAGATGCTTCAGCACACAGCTTAGGCCGCTGGCCTGGCAGACTCCCCTGAGAGCCGTGCCTGTGTCCACAGGCTGCATCATCAGGCATAGAGACTTGGAGTAGCCCCAAATGGCAGCTGTCCATCTTCCAGTCAAAAGAAGGGCAGAACAGCTGAGTTTCAGCTGCCAGTACACTTTGGACAGCTTCTTCTGGGCCTGTTACCACAGAGATTCTAGGGTAGGTCTGGGCTTCCTGCCAAGCCAAGCGCACAGGCTCCTGAGTTTCCCCTCCAGCTGGTGATGCTGTGAGAAAGCTGTTGACCGTGATGACAAGGGGCAGGAGCTGGCGGTGCCCACCCAGCCTTCCCAGCCACGGGCTCCTTCTCTCTTCCCTCCCTCATCTTACTCCAAGGCGTGGTCTCCTCTCTGTCCTCGCCACCACCCCTAGCTCCTCATGCTGTGCTTACAGTGGGACCCTCTCTCCACCCCTAGCAACGCCTGTGCCTCTCTCTGGCACCACCTGACCCCATGCTGAGGGCCTTTGGGGTCCCTGCCTATGCTCCACTCCACAGGTGTTGTGCCTGTCTGAAGGTCAAGCCTCCCTGGGACTCGTGTGCTGCTGCCTCACCTCCCACATCTTTGCACAGTCCTGTTCATGGGGTGCCTCTGGGCCTTACGCAGTGCATGGTATCTGGTCGGTGCTAAGTCAGCCTTTGGCCTGTGGAATTGAAGTAGGACCGGTATCTTCCACCAAGCTACTGTCTGGGATTCCGGGCCCCCAAAAGATGAACCTGGGCTGCCTGCAAGGTTGGGCAAGCTCAGAAGAATCAGCCCTTTCCCCATCCTGTTCCCAGCATGCACCCAGAGATTTGGCTTTCCTTTCGGCTGGTCACACAGATGTCGACATGGTGCCTAGAGCCTCAGAGCACAGGTGAGCCGATGTCAGGAACAGCAGTGGAGACTCCTAGTTGTGCCGGTGCGTCCAAGTGTCGTCCCATTGCATCTTAACTATCTTGAAAAAGATACTATTCCCATCCCACACAGAAATAAATAAATAATGAATAAACCTAGATTCAAGAGTGTTGAGTGTGTTGTTCCAGGTCCATAGTGTGGCCTGGAAACTGGAGTGAAGCCCGGTGTCTGCCTCCAGGTGGCCCCTGGGTGCCTCTGGTCTGCAGGACGTCTGCTCGGTGTTCCAGCGCAGTCTGAGCCAGTGGTTCTCGTGCTGTGACCTCAGGATCCCTGACGCACCTGAAGGGCTTGAGGACAGTGAGCTGTTGTGCGTTACGTGCTGCTTCATTCTGTTCTGGTTCTAGCTATTGATGCTCATCGTACCAGAAGTTAAAAGTGAGAAATTAGAAAAACGTATACTTGGAGATTTATTTAAAAAGAGCAATAATATACCCATTGGATGTTGGTGGTGATATTTTCATGAAAAACAAATCTCCTGACAGGATTAAGGGAGTGGTAGCTGAAGGCGGGTAGGGTGTAGCTAGAGGGGTGGGCACTGGGGACGTGCCTTTGGGGTATATATTTTGTGTCTGGTGAGTGGAGTCTCTCTCTCTCTCTCTCTCTCTCTCTCTCTCTCTCTGCTTCTGATCATCATGTGAGCCAGCTCCCTCTGCCACACAATTCCACCATGATGTTCTGCCTCACCTCGAGCCCAGAGGAATGGAGCCTGTTCTCTCTCTATAGACTAAGTCCTCAAATGAACATTTCCTTCTCTCCAGTTATTCTGGTCGGGTCTTTTAGTCACAGCAGTGAAAAAGCCGACGAAACAAAGTGATAGATTATATAAGGTTCATTTTCACATAGAATCTGAAAATGAATTTTTGAACTTTGTCATTTTCAGTGTGTTCTTGAACTTGGCACTTTGGTGGGACAGTTTTGACCCTGCACAATTCTATATTATAATCCGTCATTTGGAAAATGAGGGCCACCGAGTCATCAGACCTGCCCAGCGTACAGCAGAAACTCCCTGCCGGTCCTGAGAAGGGTGGGAAGGCAGCAGGCCCTGGGAGCTCCCCAGAGGGCTGGAGGGGCACACTGGGACCCTTGCAGGTCTGTGGTTTGAAGGGAGTGGTCCTGAATGCACAGCCCGTGAGAGGATACTGATCCCAGAACTTCAGGAGAAAAGGAGCCTGTGGGGTTTAGTATGTGACACTGGGGAAAGGCACACAAAGACACCCTACAGAACTCAGAGCAGCAGAACACCCTCTGGATTCCTTGTGTGTGTGAGAGATGTCTCCACTCACTGTTCTGGGGAGTGCGTGTGAGTAATGACTACATCTAGCTGTCCTGGGGAGCAACTTGTGTACCCCCCACAGAGATAACCACTTGCCAAGGTGGTGTGGACTGTCCACCTGAGGTTGCCGTGGGATTGACAGAGTCGAGTCGAGCTGGGGAGGCCTTCTGGGGTGGGCAGGGTGGAGTGGAGTAGGAAGGGCATCTAGGTTGCGGTGGGGCTGTTTCTCCCTGCCCTGCTGGGGGGGGGGGGGTGGGGTGGAGACAGCCTGCAGGTGCAGCAGCCAGGGCTAAGACCAGGCCTCCTGAGTATACCCTGGGTCTGATGGTGCTTCAGCTGCACTGGCCCCAGCTGTGAGTGTGCCCTCGTGACCCAGTGACCTGCTGTTCAGCTCCCCACTTGATAGCGTGATTTATTGCAGTATAATTACATGCCATAGGTAACACCAACTCTGAGCAGATCCAGCCCTCTAACTGTAGGGAGGACTCACAGCCAGCATGAAGATAAAGAGCTCCCTGGCCTTGGGAGGCTCCTCACTCCTCCCTGCTAGGCGCTGTTCTGATATGCTCTTGAAGTTCATCCAGACCCAGTGGGGCGTGTCTGTGATCCGGCGGAACAGCCTGCATGCCCTTGGCTCTTCTCTTGCTGCTGGGTGGTATTCCATCGTACACCAAAGTTTGTTCATCCATTTTCCTGTTGGTGGGCTTTGGCTTGTGTGTGGTGTTCAGCTAGAATCAAGGGTGGCTTCCAAGACATCCTGCTGTGGACTGAATTCTGTCCCTCCTGCCTTGCCTCCCAAATTAATGTGTTGGGGCCCCGGCCTCCCAGTGAGAGGTGCAGAGTGTTTGTTGACAGGGCCTGGGGTAATTAAGCTTTCCTGCAGTCGTGAGCATGGGGACTGAACACTGGATTAGTGTCCTTGTAACTAGAGCACCATAGAGCTTGCTTCTGCACTCTCTCCACCACACATTGAGAAGACAGAAATCTACAAATCAGAAAAAGCCCTCACTAGCTGGGGCCTGGGATATCCAGTGTCCAGGACAGTGAAAAGTGGCTGTGGGCTGTGCGAGCCACCCAGCCTGACATTTCCCCATAGCAGCACACTACTGGTCAAGCAGGAAACCTTGGGCTGGGAGAGGAGGAAGTTGGCAGAGCCTTCAGACCTGCTAGAACTTTCAGACACATGCTGTTAGCTGGCTGGATGATGATGACTGTCATAGGAAACAAAATCATATATATATATATAAAATATATATATATATATTTATTACATATATAAAGTACCATAGTAGTTTTGAAGAAGTACCAAGTAGAATTTCTAGAATTTATAGATATAATGACGACAACAACTTGGAGCACAGGTTTGACAGCAGATTAGACACAGCTGAACAGCTAGTTAGTGAACTGGAGAGCACAGTCCAAAAGGCTCTCTAGCTGATGGACTTGGTGACGTTCACCTCACTGTTCAGAGGGCTGAGCTGTTTGTAAACACTTAATACATCTCCCCAGTTGTGTGAAGAAGATTTCTAAGTACAGTTTCCAGAAGTCTAGGCCAATGCGAAGTTCTCAGGCTGCTGGTTAGGGAGGGAAGTGGTTAACTGCTCTGGAGGGGAAATATTAATTAAAATCCAGAGTGCACACACACTTGGATTTAGTCATTCACTTCTTATTGTTTATTCTACATCTGCCCCAGGTTTATGCCAAGGTGATGCCCAAAGGTGTTCATTGCAGCATTGTTTACATTGAAGAAAACCAAATATAAGCAAAAATGTCTCTTGGTGCCCTGTTTAAAGAATCGTGGTATATCTCAACAATAGAACGTAGAAGTTAAGAACAAGGAAAGTCTGTGTGTGCTGACTGGGATGCCATGGACACTGGACGTGCAGCTAGCTGCAAGGCACCTCCTGGGGAAACAGGGAGGGGATCGGGTGTGCGTGGGTTTAGCCAGAATCAAGGGTGGCTTCCAAGGCATCCTGCTGGGACGGAGTTGTGTCCCTCCTGCCTTGCCTCCCAAATTAATGTGTTGAGGTCCCAGCCTCCCAATGAGACGGGGCACGTGTTGGTTGTCGGGGCCTGGGGTGTACCTGAGGTCGTGAGCATGGGACCAAATGACTGGATCATGGATGTGGGCTACAGGCACGGAGACAGCTCTGAGGGCGCAAAGGGATGCTCGTACCTGGCTGTGTCTGGGGAGGGAACTCTGGGCTTGGAGCCTAGGACTTGGGCAGAGTGACAGTTTGTTGAATCCACTGAAATAGGCTTGGCAGGGCAAGGTGCTCTTGGAAGAAGAGAGAGCCAGGGCCCAGGGGCAGGGTGGGTTGGAAGCAGCACATAGGACTCTTCAGAGCACTGCTACAGTCTGAATCTTGAATGTGCCCCAAAGATGTACGTGTCAAGGGCTCGGTGGCCAGGTCGGGGCACTCTTGGGAGGCAGGGGAACCTTTAGGAGGTGGGACCTGGTGGGAGAATGTTAGGTTATTGGGGACGTGCCCTGTAGAGGGTTTGGGGACTCTCACTTCTCAACTACCAGGAGGTGAGCACCTCCTGCGCCATACGTGCGCCATCATGTCTGCCTCACCACGGGCCCAAGAGACAGTGGGCCCCTGACCATGCACTGAACCTCTGAAGCCAGGAGCCAGAGTCAGTCTCTTCTCTCCATCAGTGGAGTATTTGTCACAGTGATGAAACCCCCAACACATAGACACTTATTTTTTTTCATTTAAAAAATATCATGGATACTCTGGGAAGTGCAAGAGTTTGTTGTTGTTGTTTTGTTTTGTTTTTGTGTTTCTTTCCACTCTTTGTGCACATAAGTGTCTGCTTTTATCTGTACCTTTTCACTTAATTGCATTTTATGTACCTTCCCCTATATATTACAAGTAATCTTGATACGTATTACTTTATGAGCTCCTGAGTAAAGTTTCCACTGATTAGACACTATTTATGTCACCAGTCTGTTCGCCTTTATTGACTACAGGTTTCTTTACACTCCTCACCCGTCTGAGTGTACACAGCATTTCCTTTTTTTTTTTCAGTGCTAGAGATTGAGCCCAGGGCTTCACATACACCAGAAGGCAAGGGCTCTGTCACTGAGCTACACCCTCCGTCATAGCATTTCCGTTTTTAAAACAGATGTCCTTAGTTAGAGTCCCCAGAAATGTGACTTATATCATGTTTTTTAAAGGCCATAGGAGTTTGCTAAGTTAAACTTGAGGAAGAGTTTGCCGTAGACCTTGTGAGAATGGGGAACAGGCTCTGGGCACAGGATCACTGAAGCAGAATGAATATGACCCTCGCTGAGCGGAGCAGGTGAAAAGGAGAAAACATTCTCGAGGAAATTACAGAGGACACAGGTGAAAGGAAAGTCATCTGGGTTTGTGGTCTGGAAATCCCCCCCCCAAATATAAAAATCCATTGTAAACAGGTGAATTCCCCAAGGGATGCCAAATAAATGAAATGATCTTGAAAAAGAAGATCAAAGCTGGAGGATCGTGTGCCCTGCTTTCAAAATTTATTACAAAATTACAGTGGTCAAAAGAAGTGTGTAACTGGCGCAAAGATGGACATGTCGATGGGTGGGATAGAGTGGAGAGATCAGAGACAAACCCTGGCCTGTGGTTCCCAGGAGCCAGGGACCCTCAGTGGCAGAAGGTCACCCCAGCAAACAGTGCCGGGAAAGTGGGACACATGTGCACGAGTACGGAGTTGTACTGTTTCCTTATTCCAAAGGCAAACGTCAACACAAAATGGATTAAACATCGACGTGTAAGACTTGGAACTACTGAGAGGAGGGCATCGAGGAAAAACTTCAGGATGTTGGGTTTGGC